TTACGCTATGCCGGAAGTGAAAAAGTTATTAGAAACTACTGTGATTCATTTAGAATAGAATTATCTGAAGAATTCACTGTACACTTAAATACTAAGTTGTTTATTTTTTTGGGAAAACATTCCCTTCTCTTCCCTACACTCTGTTCTTTTTCCTTTTTTTTAGATAGGTTCTTTCTTTGTAGTTCAGGCTGACCCAGAACTGGACCCTGCTGCTCTGGTTTTCTGAGTGTTGGAATTATATATGTACAACACCATGACCAAATAAACATTTCTAAACTTGAAAACAGATAAACCAAAATGCAGTGAGTTCTTTAATCAAGCTGAACACCAGTGGCATGTAAGAATACATAGTAACACTAATGAACTAAAAGGGATATGTGTAATTTCTCCAGATTCCTGGGAAAAATTAGGATCCTCCCTGATCTTAATGAACTGGATAATCATTATGACACCTAGAAGTAAATTTATTTCTCTTCAGTCTTTAGCCTTTTTATAATTCAGAGATTTCGGCCACAGTTTGATACTTCATGCTTTTATAAAATTATAATTATATTTATTCAGGCAGCTTCTAATTGAGGAATTAGAGAAGCTAAAAGAAGCTTCACAGGCAGATACAGTAGTAACATTGTACCTTATTCTAATAAAGTCTTTAAAGACTTTGTTTCTAACTAGTCCCTTCCATAAAATGTAACAGTAAAGTTTCCAAATGTGGTTCTGTAATGGGGGGAGAAATGAAAAACAAAGAGATTTTTAAAGATATCTTAAAAATCTGACATGGCTTAATACTGTCATTTATCATTGTTTTATCCTAGAATAACTTACATTATTCCTGCTTGTTTTAATTTTTTTTTTCTACAGCTGGTTATGGTTGGGAGATGGGATATACATGTACATATATGTATATATACATATACATACATATATACAGCATACTTTGTACACACACACACAAAGATGCTGTAAGAATGACAGGGAAAAGTCTGGTGCTGGTGACTCACATTTATAATTCTAGCTACTTGGGAGGCTGAGAACTGAAATATTAAGGTTCGAGATCAGCCTGAGCAAATAGTTCGGAGATTCCATCTCCAACACAGCAAAATGGATTGGAGGTGTGGCTCAAGCAGTAAAGTGCCTGCTTTGCAAGTGGGGTGTTAAGTTCCTGGAGTTCAAACCCCAGTACCACCAACACCAAAAAAAAAAAAAAAAAAAAAAAAAAAGGCAGTGAAAAAAAATCACTGCAATGCATGATTGTTGATGTAAAAAATGTAAATGCTAGATCACTGGGGACTCACATACGGGCTTATCTACAAAGTTGAAAGCTGACTTTAAAAAAAAACAAAACTTTGCTAGCAAGTATTCCAAAGTCCTTAAAAAAATCTTAATAAAAAGGTCACTCTGGTGCTAAACATGACAGTGCATGGCTTTACCTGGGTTCACCTGTCAGATGGATCAAAATTAGCCTGTGTCTGCGTGGGGTAAACCACGTCCCCTTACAGACAACCTACTCCAAGTCAACACGGCAGGACGCAGGCTTTTACCTTCTAGTCTCAAGTAAACTAGTGACACACACTGTGCTGGCAAGAGGCTAGGCAGATGACCTTGGTCTCCTCGAAGCTGGGCCGCACTCTCAGCAACCCCTGCAATGTTTATAAGGGCATCTGCGCGTGAAAACGGGTTGGGGTCAGCACCCAGTAACTGGAGGCTTCGCCCTTCCTGGGGGCTACCGATTCGGAGCCCATTCGGCACCCAATGAAGCCGCGGGGGAGGGCATCTCTCCATTGGGCGGGCAGACCATGGGTGCTGTCCAACTGTCTTAGAGGGGTCTGGGTGTTTCCGGAGTGGACCCCATTCTTTTTGTCGGACCTAAGAGAGCGGGGACTAAAAGTACCATTATTCCTCCCACCCCCGAACCACCTCTTCGCTCAGTGTCAAGATGGCGACCCACCCTGATCGGACTCCACGGAGCCGCGAGCCATCTCCCTTCCCACCGGCCCTGCGCCAGTGGCGACCGCAAGCGTGAGGCGGGCGAAGCCGGCGAAGAGGGCGGGGCGGAGTGGGTCACCCTCCTCGCGCGCGTCCTAGCCCCGCCCCACGTCCTCGCGTCGCAGCTTGGAACCCTAGCCCGGCCACGGCGCGCGCTGCCTGCCGGGATACTCGGCCCGCCCAGCCAGTCCTCCCGTCTTGCGCGCCGCGGTCGCGAGATCCGTGTTTCTCCCAAGATGGTGGCGCGGGGTTCGGGGTGACTACAGGAGACGAGAGGGCCTTTTCGTTTTCGCCAGCATCTCGACACACTGCCCTTCGCTCGCTCGCTCGCTTGCTCGCGCACCCTACCGCAAACGCGTTACCCATCCCCCTCCAAGGGCGCTCGCCATCAGCTGCCGACTGTACGCTTCACCTCTGCCGACCCGGGTCGCAGGCGGTGGTGGCGCCTCCCTTAGCTCCTCCTCGAAGTAGTTCGCGGCCTGGATAGTCTTTGCCAAAAGGGCCCGGCACCCCCCATCCCCCCAAGTGTGGACAGACCGCAGCGGCTGGCGACGAGTGCCGGGTTTTCGGCGGCCCAAGCGCCCCGTTTCCCGGCCTCGGTTTCCGGAGAAGGAAGCGCGGGTCCCGCATGAGCCCCGGCGGTGGCGCCAGCGAAAGGGAACGAGGAGGTGGCGGGCGGAGGCGGCGGGCGAGGGCGACGACGACCAGTGAGGCGGCCGCAGCTGCGAGGGCCGCAGCCCAGGCGCGGGGGCGACGACAGGTCAGTGTTGCTGCGGACGCGGCCGGGGTCGGCGCGCTTCCTCGAATCCTTCGTCCCCTGCTTTGCTTCGCCTTCGCCACGGTTCAGAGGGCCGGCTCTGGCCAGCCGGGGTAGGCGTCCCTTCCTCCACCCCCCGGCCTCTGCGGAAAGCGAGTGTTTGGGGGCGCGTGGTCTGGAGGGGCCGGTGCCAGCAGTAGGCCCTTGGTGGCCCCGGCTGCTGCAGCCTTAACTGCCAGTCCTGGCTGAGCGCCGGAGGGAGGCTTTTGTCGCTCAAGGGGACCCGAGCGGACCCCGGGCGCGGCGGACTTGCAGGGCGTCGAGATTTGGGCCTTTCGGAAGCACGGATCGCCGAGTCAGCCGCGGTCCCCAGGCTGAGAAGGGCAGGCCTTTTTTTTTTTTTTTTTCCCAAAGAGGAGCTCTTTCAGCATTTTTAGAGGTTTTGAGCTCTCTCAGGGAAGACATATTTAGACGTGTGCTTAGTGGCTTGGGGTTTTGGGGGTGGATTGGTGGGGAGGGAGGGCGTATGAAGTGGCATGTCAAGACCTAGGATTGTGCTCATAGATTACTCATGTGTTGCTGGTCATCGGGATTCTGGAGTTGACGTGAGTTAATGGGTTTGCCACAGACTGCTGTGTTAAATTTAAATGCAAACCAGCAAGCAGTGGCCCCCCTCCTTCCCCCCTTTTCTCCCTTTTCAGCTGACAAAATGAAAAGGACCGCTTTCCTTATCTTGGTGTGGAGGCTTTTGTTGGTGAAGTCAGCCTTGAATGTGACAAATGCTTTTTGTTCTTAAAATATACAGACACTGGTTCATCTTAGAATCCTCGAAAGATAATTTAGTCTCTCAATTTTTAACGACTTCCGCTAAGCGTGCTAACATAGAAAGTACGAAATCAGGGGTCATATTTACTGTTGCAAATGTAAACGTAAGTACATATGGATTTACAGCCCGAGGTTTCCTTCACTCATGAAAGAATATGGATATGACCCATAATTGTGGGTCATTCCACTACCTGCTGTATTGAGAGAAGCAGAAGATGATTCCAGAATTTTTTGGAGAGGAAAGGGGGTTTGAAATACAGATGACTTCAAGTTTAATACATGAAGCTGTTAAAAAGTTGTGTGGAAGACATGCAGGTACTCAGTAGGTCTTGTTGACTAAATTGGAAAAGTGGAATGAGAAATGTTTCCTCAAACCTCTGACTAGTAAATATCCTTAAGAGATTTTTTTTTTGATAAATTACGTAAAATTTAGAATTTTGTTTGGCTATGTATTGTGGAAATGGTTTTGAATTAGATCTTCCTTTTAAATATAAGCTATTTATCACATTTTTAATGAAATGAGTCCATTATTGATACTGTTGATAATTCCTCAGGACGACTAGAAACCCTAAGCATGACCAAAACCAAAACCAAACCAAGACAAAACAAAACCAAAAAAACCCCCAAAAGCCCCAAACCCAGAACAAAACAAGAAATAGCCTCAATAAATAATTTAGTCTTTATGTATTTGTAATATACTTAGGAATACAAAAACGTAATACAAAGGAATAACTTGTAATCACTATCTGCAACATTAGAATGTAAGCTATGAAAGTCTTACTGTGTCAATATTTAACTTGCATTAGTGTACTAAGTAGTGTACACACCATCCTCTGGACATTGCCCCCAACCCTGAGGAGTTTATACAGAGATTGAAAATACCATTTTGATACTTTTTCAAAGGTTTTGTAGGCTGCTTTAATTTTATCTGTCTTACAGTCTATTTTTTTTTTTTTAAATTCATGGCTTAAAAAATAGCTTTCTAAGTTAAGGGTACTTACCAGTCAGAGGTGTGAGAAAAACACTTACTCATCCCACTTGTCCAGTCCATTTAACAGGATTCATTGGGTGCCTACAGTGTCTTTGACATGTAATATTTAAGTTGTTTTCTAGTCAATCAGTTGTATTTCAGAAACTTAGATCATTTCTATTTCAGTGTCCTCTTTCCCCTGTACAAAATTTTTGTAATAATTTGTTCCAACGTTGTAGCCAGTTGCAGCCAAAATTATGGGTCATTATCTAATTTTTTCCACCCAAGCACTTGAAATGATATTTCCAAAAGTCTTTTCTCTTACATGATTACTGGTCATTTTCTTTAATTATGTTGCACTCTTTTTAATTTAAGTCTATATTGTATAGGCCTAAATGTAAAAACATTGTTATCAAGTGTATATGAAGCTATTAAGAACATTAACAATTGTGATTTTTGTGAGTGAAGACAGTTTTTCAGAAGTGATGTCTCAAGTCAGTAATGTACATGCCAGAGGGATGTACACAAAAATCTTTGATGTTCTTTTCATGGAGGTTCAGGACAACAGAGTATTGGGTGGTTTTGTCAGTTTCCTCCTGACTGCCAAGTGTACAGATAATGTTAATGAGAGATAACATAGTATGTACAGGGGAAATAGCTTTGCAGTTAGAACCTGCTTTTATCTGTGGAACTACCTCAGATTTGTTAGGATTCAAGTACATAAAATACCTAGTACATAGGCACCCATTAAGTGTTACCTTAGAAACCTTCCTACCCTGTTTTCCTCAATGGTCTTAAAGCACCAGTGTTTTATGCTATAGCATTATGCATATTATGCTTGTTTCATTTCTCACTGTGAACTCACTCTTAAAATGGCAAGGACTTTTAGTGTTTACCAGAGAGTATCTTACCAGATATCTTAGTTTGTTCATGCTGCTGTTACAGAATATCAGAGACTGGGTAGCTTACAGAAGGAAAAAAAGGTTTCTTTTTTTTGGGTTGTACTGGGCTTAAACTCAGAGCCTCACACTTGCTTGGCAGATGCTTACCACCACTTGAACCACTCCACCAGCCCCCATGGTGTGTGGTTCTTAGGACTGAACCCACAGCCTTGTGTATGGTAGACAATTGCTCTATCACTGAACTACATCCCCAGCCCACTCTGTTTTCTTTTTTAATTTTTAATTAATTTATTTCTCACAGTTATGGAGAAGTCGAAGATCAAATTGCTGGCAAATTCGTGGATGTCTGGAGAGGGCCTGGTTCTTAGACAGCTACCTTTCCAGTGTCATGTTATGTAGTGGAAGGGTGAAAGAGATTCTGTTGGGTCTCCTTTATAGGACACTTATACCATTAATGAGGGCATATTCTGCCAAAAGCCCATCTTCTCATACCATCACCTTAGAGGTTTCAATGTAGGAATATTTTGGGGGTGGAGAGAACACGTATATTCAGACCATAGCGCTGGAGTTACCAGTAAGTTAGCAAATGATAAACTTAACACTTGTCAAGTACCTACTGTGGTGGTTATGAGCTGAGTGAGGTTACAGGGACCACAAAAACCTGATAGTCTAGTCACTTTCTCCATGTAACACTATTTTTTGTGAAGTCCTCTCATATAATGGAACTTCATTCTTCCATCCCTGTCTTAGGGATGTTCTGTCTTAGGGCAGTTCTATAGACTCAAGACCTAACCAGCTGCAGCTCTCACCCCCCTCCCATTTTCTTTTTTTTGTACAATCATCTGGCACATGCATTACTTCACATCTTGGTCCTAGCCTACCACTCAGTATCAGTATGATGTGTTAGCGTTTGTGTGTGTGTGTGTACATAAAATAAAAATGTATTCTGGCACTCTCCTATAAATACTAAAAGTGATGGGAGCAATCATTTTGTGTGCTGATAATAGACTCATAGGTGTTGCAAACCTGAGAAGGACTCTTCTTGAGGTCAGCTACTCCATTCACTTTATGAATGAGGAAGTTAAAAGTATAAAACTTTAAAATGGTTTTCTTTTCACCTAGGTGGTAGAGCCAAACCAGTCTTTAGCCTCTACTTCAGGTTCCTGTTTGCACTGGCACAAGTTCTGTCCTACCTGTTGGAAAGAAAGAGTAGTTATCCTTACTGTGGTAATTACCCACCCACCTTTGTGGAGGTACGTCAGTGTTTCCCATACTAGATGCCACCAGTGGACCTTTTATTTCTTCTAATAAAGGAAATGAGGTAAACTTACATTAAATAGAAAGTGTTAATCTTCTAGAAACTTATGCCCTATATTCAGACATAAGATACTTAAAGATAAGTGTGTTCTTTTTTAACAAAATGACTTAATAAATACATAGGTTTTTTGCCAGCTATCATTTAATCTCAAAATATCACTTGTAGTACTTTGATCTAAGTTATCTTTAGCAAGTAGATTTCAATTAGATGACAATTTGGAAAGACTTTTAGGGTTAGGCCTGTCCAGGAATGAAATAAAGTTAGTATTTAAAAAAAATAATTGCTCTTTGTACATGAAGTTGAGCTATAAGTCAGTTATTACTGTTTGATTCTAAGACTTGTGACTTACCTCCTTAAAATTATATATAAAAATTAAAGTGTTTCAAAGTTTCAGCAGGTTCTGTGAACAAAAACCACCAAGGATGATTGAAATGGAGGGAGAAGTGGAGGGAGGAGCACAATAACTTTGGTGTCGGAAGGTCTTCTATTTGTGTCTTTCTGGTTTTCTAGCTGGTCATGAACAGGTCACTTAGCTTTTAAGTCTTTATTCCTTCATCTGTCAAGTGAAGGTGATACTTGGTTTATTGTTTGAGAGGATTGTACTTTTCAAATGTTACTGTCCATGAAGGTAGATTAATACTTTACAAAGTGACCTGATAACTGATTTAGTGACTTGCCTAAGAAAACAGTTGGTGGTAGACAGGTGATTGGAATCCTTGTATTTTTTTGTGCTTTTTTTTTTTTTTTTTTTTTCTGTTAACATTGTTAACTTTTCTTTTTTTAGAAAAATTATTTTGGGACATTTATAGTGTGTAAATTTATTTTAAATTTGGTAACCACAATTTGAATGAACAATTGATTTTAGTTGTTAGTGATAAATTATTTGGGTGGTATTACTGATCCAAAGTCAGATTCATTTTGTAATTTGCTTTACTTGACCTATTATAGTTAATTTGATAAATGGCAAATGAAATAACCATAAGATTGATCCCAAAGGTGAAGTTTTAGGGCACATAGAATCATAGTGGTTAAGATAATTTCTGAAGTCCAGTTCCAGGATATCTGAACAGGAATCTTGCATAAGGTATTGCCTCAGGATCAAGAAAGATAATTCTCCTAAAATTTTATTAAATTCAGCATTTGTATTGCAAGTAAAGGCACAGAGGTAGTTAGTGGTAGGCCCTGAATACTTACACAAGTACGATAAAATCTTCCATACATGAAAATGTTGACTGGCCTGTGTGGAGTCTGATGATGTTATTATTAGCACCTTAGCATGTTCCACAAATTGGTCTTCTGTACCTGTCACAATCATTTAAGTAGTGTAGCACAGATCCTATTAAGTTATAGAAATCAAACATGAAAATTTTTCCCCCAGTGCTGGAGGTGGAACCTAGGGCCTTGCATATGCTAGGGAGGTGCTGTACTGTTGAGCTACATCCCCAACTTGAAAAGTTTTTTTTTGACCTATGTTATATTATATAGCCTTGTAGCTCTTTCCTAGTTCTTAATGTGTTCCTGTTGTACATACTTTCAAGCAATTGAAGATGTTCTTTTTCACATGATAAGCATTGTTGCACATAAATTACACAGCTGTGAGCTGAATGAAGATGCTGTCAGTTCAGTTCTGTACCTTTCACAGGTTCTTTTCATGTAATGACTTCTGTTTCTGTATCAAAAGGGATGACTTACCTATTTCAAGCTTCTGATGGACTTCTGTGCCAGCAGCCTTCCTCTCAAATGTGAGAAAGGAGTATTAGAATTGCCCTTGTGGAGTGTAACCACCACCATAATGCATTTATTTTTATTAACTTTTTTGTTTTTTGAGACAGGGTCTCACTGTGCAGCCCAGACTGACTTCAAACTTGCTATTGGAACCCATGCCGACTTTGAACTTCTGATTCTCATGCCTCACCATCACCCAGTTCATTTATTTTTATATTCTTTGTAATGCAGAATAAATTCTGACTCCTCCTTACCTCCCTTCCTCAGTTAAGTATATGGAAAGTACAGAGTACAGAGTAGGAGTATATGTATACTCCTATGGACATTCCTCACATTTTTTATTTCCTTACATTTTCTAGTTCCTTCTCTGAAATTCACATTATTTTCTTCTCAGCTGATACCTTTAGCACTGTAGATTCCACTGTAAGAATTTCTTCATATTTTCATCAAATACTTCTGTAATAATGCTGTTTTTTTGGAAGGGAAAGGATGAAATCCTCATAATGTATTCTATATAAAGCTAATGAGTATGGGGAAGGTAAGGGGTTATTCCCAGTCTATTAATGATCGTAGTTCTTTTTTCTTATTTTTTATTAGTGTATATTAATTGTACAAATTTGTAAGTTTCATTATGACATATGCAGATGTATAATTTGATCATATTCGTCCCTCCCAAGTACTTTTTTCTTACGAATTTTATTTATTCTGCCTTTGTGTATTCACCACTTTGCTAACCATACAATGTATCATAAGTAAGGCATATTTGTCCTTGTAAAATATTTTACATTTTTATTTTGTGAGTTAAAAATTTATTGTATGTGACATGTATTGATAAATACCATTTCACACAAAAATTATTTGGGTAACGTTTTTCTTTCCTAGCTTTTTGAAATGGGCTGACAGTGTATTCTGTGTTGGTGATGGGAGTTTGTTTAAGAAATAAAAGTTACTCTAATTATTAAAGCTGCTTTATTTGCATTCAATGTCTAAATGACACTTGCTGTCTCTAATACATAACACGTTTAAGTTTGATAACGAAGGTAGGAATACACTCTGCCATACACATTGGAAATATTTCTTAAAAATGGACAGCAGTATTGAAATAAGCACTTCAGTATAAGAGAATAACCAGTTCAGTTTTACTATTGTACATGTAAAGCTAGATTTCTGTATTTCAAATTATGAATAATTATTGTCCAGTATACCGTATTTCACATGATTTAAAAAATGAATAAAAGGTCTTGTGATCTTATTTGACTCAGTATGATATTATCTTTCCACTCCAACCCTGAAAATTCCTCTTATTCCATCTTTTGGACAGAATAAAAGGTAGAGTGGTGAAGTTAAAAATAGATGGATCTGAGCTAGAAAATAGGCAGGTCACTGATTTCAATAAAAATTTAGTAATTTGTTTATTCCTGGATTGAAGATTCTATGAGAAAGGTAAATGTTCCTGAGTTTTCTCTCTCTCCTTTTCATCTCCCTTTCCCTCCTTTTTCCTCTTGTTCTCCTTACTTAGGCATTTGTAAATACTGGAATGAATGAACTGTTTTCTAGTTTGTTCAGGCCTGCTTTTATGTATGATAAAGATCAATTCTCTAGGCTCTAGAACTTAATGTAATTTTAAGTAGAAATAGGCAGGACTTGAGGGGTCAGCCTGTATAGACAGAAGACCTTGAACTGCTTAATGCCTGTGTTGAATTTGAGAAGGCATTCCTAGGAAGGGTGAAGGTGTTTGTGTGCCTGTCTTTTCCATGTTGCTATTTGATGCGAAATTTTGAGAGATTGGGTCTAATCTCTCTCTTTAGTGGTCAATATGTAATTACTTTTAAGTATTATTTTGGATACCTAGTATGGATCTAAAATTATCATGTTACAGTAGTAATTTTACATTATATTCTTTTTTTTTTTTTTTTTTTTGTGGTACCAAAAATCAAACCCAAGACCTTGAATCTGGTAGGCAAGTACTCTCCTACTGAGCTACACTCCCAGCCCTTTACTTTCTATTGTTATTAGGGTATCTTTCTTCAGTTCTTCCATAAAGTAAGAAGATTGGGTTAGGTGATCTAATAGGTCCTGAGGCAATTTTTAGCTTGGACATTATATGCTAATATATTTTTTCTATTTAAAAATATATTTTAACAGTTGGAAGAATTGGCTCACCCTTGTAATTTTAGCTACTTGGGAGGTGAAGATCAAGATTGGGAGGATAATGGTTCATAGCCAGGTCAGGCAAAAAGTTAGCCAGACTCCTTAAAAAGCTGGGCATGATGGCATGCTTCTGTTACCCCAGCTACACAGGAAGCATAACTAGGAGGAGGATCACTATCTGTGGCATTCAGAGTGTAAAAGTCAGACCCTGTTTGAAAAATAACTAAAAAGCAAAAGGGGTTGGGGTGTGGCTCAAGCAGTTAGACTGCCTGCCTGGCAAGCATAAGGCCCTAAGTTCAGACCCTACTTCCTCCAAAATAAATTTTTTTTGGTACCAGTGATGCATTGTTTTATTTATAAAAAGAATCCAAACCTCACCTTTATATTCATTTTCAGGATTGCTTGGCTTTTCTTGGACCTTTACTATTAAAAAATCAGTTTATCAAGTACTGTGTGGCTTTTTTATTGTTTGCATTTATTTTTTATCCTTGGTGGTACTGTGGTTTGAACTCACGGTCTTGTGCCATTTGAGCTTAGCTGCCAGTCCTTTGCATATTTTTGAGATATATTCATGTTGTGGTGTGTAACAGTATTTCATTCCTTTTTATATGGCTGAATAGTGTATGGTATGGATAAACTACATATTGCTTATTCAGGGTTTTTTTCACTTTTTTATTATGGATAATGTTACTATGAATATTTATTTACAAGCTTTTGTGTAAACCAAGTGTATCTAGGAGTGAAACTACTAGGTCATAGAGTAAGTCTTTGTTTAACATTTGATGAATTGCTAAACTCTTTTCCAAAGTGGCTGCAGTATTTTACAATTGTACCACCAATGTCTGAGGGCTCTGATTTCTCAATTTTTTGTTAGTGCTTACCTGTCCTTTTTATTTTAGCCATTGTGTGGACATTAAGGTATCTCTGTGGTTTTTATGACTTTGCTTTTCATCATTGCATTTGCTGACTGGGCATCTTCTTTGGAGAAATATCTATTTAAATCTTTTGCCATTTTTAATTTGGGTTCTTTTTATTGTTGGATTGTAAGAGTTCCATCCTTACCTATTCTGTATATAAGTCCCTTATCAGATGAATGACTAAATATTTTTTCCGTTTTCTGTGGGTTGTCTTTTTACTTTATGATGGTTTCATTTGAAGCTATTGAAATACAAGGTTTTCATTTGAAGCCACCATGCCTATCATTTGATCGATGAGCATGGGATATTTTTCTATTTCTTTACGTCTTTAGTTTCCTCATTCCTTCCCTGCCTGCCTTCCTTCCTGCCTTCTTTCTTGCCTTCCTGCTTTCCTGCCCTCTTGTCCTCCTGCTCTCCTGCCCTCCTGCTTTCCTGCCTCCCTGCCTCCCTCCTCTGTACCTCCCTCACTGGTGTTCAAACTTAGGGCCTTGCACATGCTAGGCAGGTGCTTTACCACTGAACTATACCCACAGCCTTCTTTCTTGTTTTGTAGTTTCCAGTGTGGGTTGGACTGGGTGATGCCAGTGGAGATGGTGGTTAAGTTTTTGATATGTGTTGTAAATAGAATAGAATCCACAGGATTTGGTAATAGATGAACTGAAAGTGAAATAGAGGAGTAAAGCATGACACCAAAGTGTTGACAAGAGCAACTGCGAAAATAGAGTTGAGTAATTCTTTTTAATTGCTGCATTAAATTTATGCATCACATCACGTGCCCACATGATGAGACAGAGTGGGGGGGGGGGAAGGAGGGAGAGAAGAAGAAGGAGAGTGATATGGAAATGGAGAGGGAGGGAGAATCTATGGGAATGAATATAATGGTTGAATGTTTTAAAATGTGGGAAATTATGCCTTAATGAACATTTGTCCTGTAGTAACCTTTAAATGGAAGACTATAAATGTGATTTTTTTTTTTTTTTTTGTCAGTCTTTAGAACTAAACTAGGAACTAACTTTACTGTTTTGGCAGCACTGGAGTTTGAACTCAGGGCCTCACACATGCTAGGCAGGCACTCTACTACTTGAACCATCCTGACAGCAGGAACTAACACTTAAAAGTTCATAATATGTCATGAAATCTTTTCCTTATTGTGGACTCTAGATTGCTTTCAGTTTTTGCTGTTACACATAATGACACCTATTATGTCTATAAGGTTGCTTCTGACAAATAGGATTGTAAGACCATTAGGCTATCTCAATTTATAAATTTGATAGATTCTATCAGTTTAACTTTCAAACTTTTTTTTTTAAGTAAGTTTCATTCTCCTAAAATACTGTGGGACTATTCGTTTGTCTTGTTGTCTTATTTTATGTGCATATCTTCTTTTGAGACAGGGCTGGCCTTAAGCTCATAATTCCCCGCCTGAGACTCTTTTGAGTGCTGGGGATTAAAGATGTATACTACCACAACCTGGCTAAAATCTTTCCAAATACTTAAGTATTTGTAGGAAGACTGATGTAACTTTTTTTGTCCATTTTCTGTAAATCGGACCATTTACAGGGGTATGCATTTTAGTATGCTTACAAAGCTAATATATAAAAATAATGTCTTGTATTTTCCTTAGTACTTTTAAGACTGTACTTTATAAGACTGGAGAAGTGGCTCAAGTGGTAGAGCGCCTGCTTCACAAGTGCAAAGCCCTGAGTTCAAACCCCAGTACCACCAAAAGAAAAATAAAAAGATTGTACTTTATAGGTTTATGAATTCAGATCTCAGAAGAATCAACTTTTCAATAAGGTATGATATGGCTTAGGTAGGGATTGAATTTGACATATTTTTGTATTACCTTTTATTCAGTTTAGGCAGATGATTGTGTTGATTAGTTATGACATACTTTCTCTTCTGATTAAAAACTCCAACTTTTTCTATGCTGTTTTCATAAATCTTGAACGTAATGGCTTATCTAAGTATAATTTAGATAAAATATACCCATTTCTAATTGAATACTTTTATTTTGACAAATACCTACACTCTATCTGCAACCACAGTCTTAATATAGAATATTTGAATTACCTCCAAGGATATCTTTGAAGTCATGCCTTTTTCTTGGCCCCAGACAATTATCTGTTTGCTTGTTAGTTTTGCCAGTTGCAGATAAATGCGGACTACAGTTTATACTCTTCTTTGTTCATCTGGGTTTTGCTTTTAGGTCTTTTTTTTTTTTTTTTTTGGCGGCACTGGGATTTGAACTCAGGGTGTTGTGCTTGCTAGGCAGGCACTCTACCACTTGAGTCTTTCCACCAGCCCCTGGGTTTTGAGATTTCATCTATTTTGTGTCTATTAGTAACTTTTTTTTAGTACTATATGGCTGTACTGCAGTTTGTTTATTTACTTATCTTTTTGTTTACAGTTTTAGGCTGTACTCTGTGCATGTCTTTGAATCAACATACGTTTTAATTTTTCTAGAATAAACATCTTACTTTGGAATTAGTGGATCATATGGTAAGTTTATGTTTTAACTGTATAAGGAGCTGTCAGACTATTTTCCAGATGATTATACCATTTTATATTCTAACCAGTGTATATGTGATTTGTAGTTCCAGCAAAAACTTAGTCATTAATTGCTGACATTCTGATGGGTATGTAATGATGTCCCTCAGCAGTTTTTTGCTTTAATTGTGTAAAAATATACATAAAGTTTACCTTTTTAACTATTTTTAAATTACAGGTCTGTGGAATAAAGTAAGTTTACATGTACAGTCATAACTGCTGTCCATCCCTGAAGCTTTTTTGTCCTTTCAAACTGAAACTGAACTTAATAAACAGTAACTCCCCATTAGCTCCTCTCCTTAGCCCCTGTTAAATTTGCACTTTTTGTCTTTGTCAATTTTACTATTCTAGGTACTCCACGTAAGTGAGATCATGATGTTTGTCCTTTTGTATCTGGCTTATTTCACTTAGCATGTTTTTACAGTTCATCCATATTGTTACCTGTCAGAATTTGACTTTTTTTTTTGGTGGTGCTGGGGATTAAATGAGGGCCTTGCACATGCTAGGCAAGCACTACCACTGAGCTACATTCCCAGTTGTTCAGAATTTGACAGTTTAAGGCTGAATAATATTCCATTGTGTGTATGTACACTACATTTTACTTTATTTATTTATGTGGGTGGATATTTGGGTTGTTTTTATTTTTTGGTGGTATGAATAATGCTGTTATGAATATTGGTGTACAACTATGTTTGAGTTCTTGCCAGTAGTACACAAGGGTTACAGTTTCTCCACAGCCTCATTAAAACTAATTTCTCTTTTTCTTTTCCTCTCTCTTCTCTTTCTTATGTTGGGGATTGAGCTTTATGGTCTTGTAGTTCACTGAGTTATATCCCCAGCCTTTTATTTTGCAGCAGGGTCTTGCTAAGCTAAGTTGCCCAGGCTAGCCTCCAACTTGTAGTCCTGCCGCAGCCTCCTGAGTAGTTAGGATCACAGATGTACACCATAGCCCTGCTTCTCTTTTGCTTAATTGCTGTTCTAATGGGTGTAAAAGTGTCATTAGAGTTTTAATCTACATTTTCCTAATGATTAATGTTGTTGTTGTTGAAGTTTCCTTCTTTTGTGAATGTCTGTTCAAATGTTTTACACATTGCCTCAGAATATAAGGCCTTTGTCAGATGCATGTATTTCTTTTGCATTTTTACTGTTTTTTCCTTATTATTAATTACTAAGATAGGACTATAGTTTGGAATTTGCCATCTTTCCTTCTATTTTGTCCATTTTGCTTCATTTGTTTTTAAAACTATGTGAGGTGCATTTATGTTTAGAACTGTTAGATCTCCTTGATGAATTAGCCTCTTTATCTTTCTAAAATGTCCCATTTTATCTCTGATAATGTTCCTTGTCGTAAGTTTCCTTTGTCTGGTATTAATGTAGGTACTCTTCCTTTCTTGTGATTATTATATATATAATATACAATGTTCTTTTGCTATCCATTGCTTTCAACTAATCTGTTGTTATATGTAATGTCCTTGTTTTAGATAGGGTGCAGTTGCGTGTTGCTTTTATTAAACTTATATTTTTTAACTATTTTTTATTAGTACATATTTTACAGAGGATATTATTGTGATGTTTCCATATGTGCAAGTAATATACTTTGATCGTATTTGTTCTGTTATTCTTTCCTATTCCTCTGTTTAAAAATTTTTTAATGGATTTTGTTATGGTGTTTTCAGGTGTGCATATAATGTACTTTGATCATATTCACTCTCTCACTCTCTCCGTTCCCCCTTCCCTTCTGGTTGGCCCCTCTCCCCCAAATATACATATCACATATATATGTGTATATAGTTTACATATATATCTTTTTAAAGTCTAGATTCCACATATGAGAGAAAACATTTGACATTTGTCTTTCTGAGTTTGACTTATTTTGGTTAACATGATGATCTCCAGTTTCATCCTTTTTCATGCTGATGGTTGAATAATATTTCACTGTGTAGACATCCCACATTTTCTTTATCCAGTCATTGGGTGATGGGCACCTAAGCAGATTCCATAGCTTGGCTATTGTGAATAGTTGCTGCAGTAAACATGAATGTGCAGGTTTATCTGTTGTATGTGGACTTAATATTCCTTTGGGTATATGTCTAGAAGTGGTATAGCTGGATCATATGGTAGTTTAGTTTTAGTTTTTTAAGGAGCTTCCACACTGATTTCCGTAGTGGCTGCACTAATTTTATATTCCTACCAACAGTGTATAAGAACCAGTATCCTTTTGTGTTGTCCCCCTACCCATAGTTGGATAGTCTCTCCTTTCCCCCATCCTCACCAGCATTTGTTGTTGTTTTCTCCATGATAGTCATTCTGACCAGGTGAGATGGAATCCCAGTGTGGTTTTGACTTGCATGTCCTTTATGGCTAAGGATGTCGAACCTTCCTCCATGCATTTGTTGGCCATTTGTACTTTTGAGAACTGTCTTTTCAGTTCATTTGTCCATTCATTAATTGGTTCATTAAATGTTCTTTTGGTGTTTGATTTTTTTTGAGATCTTTTATATATTCTGGATATTAATTCCTTGTCAGATGAATGGGCCTTGAACATGCTAGGCAAATTTGCATCTTGGTGTTTGATTGAGTTATATAATCTCTTTTTTAATTTGAATGTTCATTCAGCTCATTACATTTTATTGTAATTGTCTATGTAGTGGTATTTAAGACACTTTGTTTTCTACTTGTCCTATCTTCTTTTAAAGGTTTCCCTTCTTTTCTTGTGGATTAATTGAGCATTTGGGTTTTGTTTTGTCTCTGCTATTGGCTTATGCCTCTTGTTACTTACTGCACCCTTCCCCCAGTGCTTATTCTTTGATTTACTGTATGCACACTTACTTCAGTGTACTTTCAAAAATGTTATACCTCTTGCTGTATAATACAAGAACATTTTCTCTTCATTCTTTTTGCTATTGTAATCACAAGATATGTCTTACTTCTACATGTTCTAAATTCCACAGTAGAGTTTATAACTATTTCTTATAAAGAAATAGTTGTTTCTTTTGTAAAGATATTTAAAAAGTAAGAATACATTTTTTTTGTATTTACCCTCATTAACCATTTTCATTTCTTTTGGTAAGATTCATGTATTTTTCTTTTTGTAAATCCAAATTTTTTGCCTCCTATTTTCCTCCTGTATGAAGAACTTTAATTTCTGAAATGTAGCTTTACTGGCTACAAAAATCTTTCAAATTTTTTTTTTTTTTGGGTGATACTGAGGTTCGAACTCATGGCCTCCCTCATGGATGCTAGGCAGGTGTTCTGCTGGTTCATGCGGGTGGGCTACTCCACCAGCCTTCAGCTTTTATTTGTAATGAAATGCCCTTATTTTGCCTTTTCTACATTTTATTACAAAAATAATTCGAACGTACGCAGGCTTTAAAATAACTGTGGAATGTAATTCCAAAATCATCATTTTATTGTTTGCTTTGTTTCATGTCTGAATCTACCTAAGCTCTTATCATTCTATTAATTTGTCTTTTTGCAAGCTTTTCAAAAAAGTTGCAGATGTTAGTGTACCCTTAACTTCAGCATGCATATTGTTAACTAAAATTTTAGTAGTTTACTATTCAAGGATTTAGCATACCGTTTCACTTATTTACTGCTGTGTAACAAATCACCTTAAATGTAAATGCTGTGACCATCAGTAATGATTGTTTTTTGCTTATGAATCTTTGATTTGGGCAAGATTGCCAAGACAAGCTTGTCTTGATTTCAAGAATACCAGCTGGAAGCCAGGCTACAGTACTTGTAGTCTTTCTTACCTGGGAGGCTGAGATTGAGACCCTATCTCAACAGAAAAAAGCTGGATGTGGTGGTACATGTGTCATCCCACTAATAGCTGGAAGCATAAAATAGGATAACAGTCCAGGTCGGCTTGGACAAAAAGCAAGACCCTATCTCCAAAAATAACCAGAACAAAAAAGGCTGGAGGCACAGCTCAAGCAGTAGAGCACCTGCCTAGCAAAAGTATGAAGCCCTGAGTTCAAACTTCAGTACCACCAAAAAAGACTGTTAGCTAAAGTGACTTGATCATCTGAAGGCTTGCTCACTCACACATCTGCAGATTGTTGTGGGTATCAGGACTTCAGCTGAGGCTCTGGTCTAGAACATTTATGTGTTCTAGATATGTAACTTCCTTTTTATGTGACTGTCTTCCTTACAGCATGGCTGAGTAGATTCCAAGAGTGACCATCCCAAAAGACTAAGGTAGAAGTGGCATTTTTGTGACCTAGCATCAAAAGTCACAGAGCACATACACTGTACTTTCTGATTGAAAGAATCACAGAGACTGCGGAAGTTCAAGGGCAGGGACATAGATTCCACTCTGTAAAGGGAGAGTGCCAGTACTGTTAAAAAGAGCATGTGGGGCGAGGTACATCAGGATGGCCCCTGTAAATTACAGTCTGCCACACCATGTCTTGAATTTTGACCAGTATTTATATACACCTTTGTGATAGAGTCCTCATCAACATATAAAACCTATAACCCTTTCTTGAAGGTCCTTGCTCCAGCACTATTCCCAGAGTTAACCATTGTTCTGATTATTTTCATTATATATGACTTGCTGTAGAACTTCATGCATATAGATCATACAATACTTAACATAATAAAAGGTTTATTTTACTCTCAGCATAATGTTTTTGGGATATATCCATGTTATTGCAGGTTGCAGTAGTTTGTAACTTCATTCTTTATTAAGGGACACTTGGGCTGTTTTCAGTTCCTAGCTGCTATAAATAAGGCTGCAAGTAATGTGTGATTTGTGTGGATATGTATGGTTTTTGGAGGATAAATACCTAGAAATGCAAATACTGCATTATAGGTTAGTTTTATTACCAGATCATCTTGGCTGCTTTATCTGTATTTTCACCAACAATTTGTGAGAGAGAGTACATGTTGTTCTACATTCTTGTCAATATTTGGGATGGTTTTTTTCTTTCCCAATCTTTTTGACAGTA